CTGAGCTACATAGTGAGTTCTAGGTCAGTCTCAACTACATAGTGAGACCCTGTCTCAAAAAACTAAAAAGAAAAAAAAAAAAAATGAAGGACATAGGGATGTAGCTCAGTGTGAAAGCCCTGGGTTCAATCCCCAGCACCAGAAAAACAACCTGGGAAGTCAGGAAGCTTCTGGGAGGGGTCCTGTAGTGACAGAGAGGAGTTGGCCAGTGGGGGTGGGAGGGGCCTGGGCCTCAAGCTACAGTCTCCATCTGAGATGAAAGAGGAGGTGGAAGTGTTCAGCAGGGCCCAGGGCTTGTCGTCCTGCTTGGAATATGGGGGTGACCTAGAGGCAAGGAGCAGCTCTCTCCAGCAGTGGCCGAGGCAGATGGCAGTGGGCAGCATGTGGGTCATAGGCAGGGCCATGGGGGCTGGTGGCAGCCCCAGGGGGTGGCGCATGTAGACAGGTGGGAGCTGCTCAGGTGCAGGCCTGGGAGGGGCAGTAAAAGGGCTGCGCTGGCTCTGCCCCACACCCATCATCCTCCACCACCCCCGCAGGGTGAGAACATCACCAATGCCCCCGAGCTGCAGCCCAATGCCGTCACATGGGGCATCTTCCCGGGGCGAGAGATCATCCAGCCCACAGTGGTGGACCCCGTCAGCTTCATGTTCTGGAAGGTAAAGGATTGGGAGGAGCCCCACCCACCGTGAGAACCCCGAAGAGACCGCATCACCTGGTCCCAAGGGTGTGGCTAAAGGCCGGACCCTGGGGCCAGCAGATTCAGCCTTCAGGGCCACATGTTCTCACATAGTGGTCATTTCTGGGGCGGGTGAGAGTAGCCCTGGCACCAGCTTTGCTCTGACCCCAGACCTGTCAGCCAAGGCAGCAGCAGAAGCCTGGCCTGGGGGCATCCTGCTGACCTTGCATGTGTGTGTATATGTGTGTGTGTGTGTGTGTCCACACCTCTGTGTGTAGGACGAGGCCTTTGCCCTGTGGATCGAGCAGTGGGGCAAACTGTATGACGAGGAGTCCCCATCCCGCATGATCATCCAGTACATCCATGACAACTACTTCCTGGTCAACCTGGTGGACAACGAGTTCCCGCAGGACAGCTGCCTGTGGCAGGTGGTGGAAGATGCATTCGAGCTGCTCAACAGGCCCGCTGGGCTTGTGAGGGAGGTGGAGGCATCATGACCTGCATCCGCCCCTCCCGGTCCTGACTCTCCCTTGTGCCCAAGCCCGCTGCCCACGTGAGGGCACTGCCCATGCTGCACTGGTGTGAGGCTGCCAGGCTCTGGCCGGACTGGAGTGGGCCCCCGTGGGAGCCTGGTGCTCCTGTGCAAGGCAGGATCTCATGCTCTGTCGGTGCTGCAGGGGACCACAGTAGATGGCACATCTCCATCCCTGGGAAGAGAAAGACA